CATACAAGGCAGAAGCGTACAGACACATACAAGACAGACACATACAAGGCAGAAGCATACAACCGCATGCAGAAGCATACAGACACATGCAGAAGTATACAAACGCATACAAGGCAGAAGCGTACAGACACATACAAGACAGACACATACAAGGTTACCCGCAAATGCTATTAAAGCTTATAATTACGAGTCATATTATATCATGATACAAATCAGATACCTCTGCGCGATAGAGGGGTGGCGTGGATGACCCTGTAGATACTTGACAATAATATAATATCAATATAAAAAGAACATATAACAATATAAATAACTATATATAATAATACAGTTAACAATATACACAGCAACAATAAGAATAACAATATATAACAATATAAATATCAATAAATTACAATATATAACAAAATTAATAACAATACAAGTAACGACATAAAACAACAATATATAACAATATAAAATCAATATATACACCTATAAATAGTACTTTCCAACACACACCTCGCGATTGCCCTCATAGTTGCTGGATCCATATGTTGTAAGCAGGTTACGCAGGCATGGGATAACCATGGACGCCTCCTGAAGTGTATGTGACAGGGCGTGGTTACGTCTTGTCAGTTCAGTGTACGTGTATGTGTATGTGGGGGTGCGTGGGCAGCATAATCCACTGACCATTTCTGAAGCAGCAGTGGTTGCTATGACAACGCCTCGTAGCCTGTCGCTACGAGGGGGGGTGAATGGGGTGTATTGGTGCGCTTTCTGGACTACTAGTAGCATTGTTAGTACGTTTTCTGAACTACTATTAGCACTGTTAGTATATTTGTACGGGCCTGTACGTGAACCGAGTAGCTGTGAACGCCTGTGAATGTGGCAGCCGCAGGATGTAGTTAAGTGTGTGCGACAAAGTACAGCTCCTTGTTGGATCGTCGCGAGTAGTAAGTTACGCACAGGGACGTTCATTTGACCTGGTACACAGACTTAGCCTGAAATAAAATTAATAGACCATCAAAGTCTTCTACAAGAACAAGCAATCGAAGATGCTTATGTATACATATACAGCTGACTGTAGCTTACATGATATAGAACACACCTGCAGACATCTGAGAGTACGCCTCAGTATGACAGTACACAATACACAAACCACACACGCCCACCGATGTACCTACATACACCCAAACACATAACCACGCTGAATCCTCGAGGGCGCAGAAAGCAGGTGAAAAACAGCGTACATCGTATATGCATACACACTACCATCACAGGAGATACGCCCCTGCGAGGTAAGACAGGGATATGTACGTCAAGTGAACCATATAGCGTGGGATGCGAAGGTCTGAGCACGTACAGTTGGCCATGCCCCTTATTTACACACACGCACACAAACACCCGTAGCCCCAGTGCACTAACGCAGTTAGTACACACACACGTCTATAAATAAGTTCAGCGTGAGCATCAGAAAACACCGTGTCTGCCACAAATCGCATAAAACAAGCGATTAGGGCTGCACCGGTTTTTTCACAAAGAGGACTTGGCCAAGACATTTGGTACCTGAGCTGTAACGAAGTCGGGTGTGAATCGAACTCCCGGATTTAGATCGTGCGACATTGGTACATTCAGCGCTGTCATTGGCCGCAAAAACTTCAACTCGTTTTCTCCTAAGGCCCTGTGCGCTGTTTTGGAAGCCTAATGATAGGTGCAGTGTATGGAGTGGATTAGAGAGTGGCTATAAATAACATGTGTGTGCCACAAAAATGTCAATTCCTGACATAAGCTGAATATCAACCCAAAAAATGCGAATATTTATATGAAAATAAATATAATGAATTTTAAACGGTTACAAAGTGTGGTATTTCTCTCAAGATCTTTTTCGGTTCACGTTTAAATATACGCGAGTCATCTAAAATACAGTATTTCAGTTTAGGTGAAAACAAATATACACACTCCAGAAAGCAATACACGAATAACCCCTAAAACCCGATATATTATATATATATATATATATATATATATATATATATTATA